GCTGGAGACATAATGTTCGGGCATAAGAGTGATCACGAGTTAATATATATCGACCAATAGCGCATTAGATATGGGAGCGTTTTGAATATCAGATCTGAGTTAAAAGGTATGAATATATGAGAAGTTTCGAACCTGCTGGTACGGAATAATACTCAAGATTTCAAGGGGGTATTGGACATTTTATAGACCCCATTCCTTGCCTCATCCCCGCCGGGATCAACGGTAGCCGAAAAAACCTTGATATCATCGCACCGCTGTTGCCCCTATGATATCATTCGCGCAGGTTTGGGTTTCATTACGCTTCCCTGATGTCATCGGGCGATCAACGTGGGTGCTACGTAAGCGCCAGCCCTGTCACCCGCGCGGGAAATTCCGGGCGCAGGTCGGCTCTAGCCGCACATATACCGGTCTCTGCTGTGAACTTTTCATGCACTCGACGTCAGAGGACTTTTCTGAATATCTGGGGGATTGGCTGCCGGTTTCTGCGAGGCTTATCCGAAGACACAGATGGGATTTACCAAGAAACATCGCAGATAGCCAGAAGCGGGCAGGAATGTTTCTTTTCCCTTTCTTTCTTTTGGAAGGACATATTTATTGTATTATTACCCTTAAGTCTATCCCAAAATAACCGAATTGGCCAAATGCCCAACAACACGGCCTATCTATATATACAGGAAGAGGAAGAAGAATTAAAAATAAAAAAGAGGAAAGCAAAGAAAATAAAATACAGCGATTAGAATTTTCCAATCAGCAGCTGAGAACCCATTCCCTTCGCGGTCCAATACACAGTTTTCCAGAGATTCACCAGGTCCAGCGTGCTCGTGAACGTATCGACAAAGCCAAACGGAAGCATCGACGGGATCCATCCTGTCAGGGCAACGCAGCCAAAGGAGTCAGCATGTTTAAACGAAAAATCGGACGGAGTGTTGAGAATGCCGAGAGAGAACGGAAAGAAGGAGAAAAAGAAAAAGACAAGCGGAAAATGAGGGAGGAAAAAGGGCTTGTTGGGTTATTTTGAAATCCTCACCTTGCGCTAACTCTAACGCCCAACCATTCAACTGATACTGCGATCCTTTCCCCTCTCTTAAGCCAATTTTGGTCACCAGGATGATATTCCGTCGCCTCGAGTTCGCCGGGCAAGAACCGTCGTTCGACGCCATGCAGTATCGTAAAGTAGTCGTGTGCGAGGTGCACGCCTGAGTGGCCCTCGGATCCGAGAGGTGTGCCGTAGAAGATAAGATATTCGGTAATCGACGCGTGGAGAATGAGCATTGCGCCCATTGCGTTTCCGTGGTTGCTGCGGGAAAGGAAAAGCGTTAGCAAATGAAAATTTGAAGCGTTGCTGTTAAAGTAAAAGAGAGCAATTATGGCCCTTTTCTTTTTCTTTCTTTTTTTTTCTTTTTTCTTTTTTTTTTTTTTCAGTAATGCTAATACTCTCTTCCCCCCCCTCCCCCCCCCCAAAAAAAAATATCATATTATCACCGCTCAGAAAACTTACCTGAAAACCCAGCGGGCCGGATCCCTATCGAAGGGAAGTACATGCTTATCCCCGTATTCCATACGCAACGCCTGGTTGAGATCCGTCATCAATTCCGTAACATTGTTCGGGTGCCGTTCAATTGAAGCCTTGGATAGCTCCTGGAGCCTCTGCGGATCAAAGATGTAGAATCTCGGAAGGATTTGGTCGAGCTTGTAGAGCCCGACGAGAATGAGCGGGAGGAAGTGGAGGAAGCGCATTGTTGTATTTGGATTAATTATTTTTTTT